GGGGCGGCGGTGTTCTGGCCTGCCTAGGGTTGGCCGAACGCATCAGCTTAAAAACTTCCGTGGCTGTAGTCATATTTTGGACTTCTCGAGTGTCGTGATCTTTCTTAGCTGAAGTAATAGCCTCCCGCTGCAATTTCGTGTGGGTAGCCCGGCGATGGGATATTGTTTCTGCTCGATATGCGGCATGGATGGACATGCATTTAGGCGTCCACTATGGGGCGTGCTTACCGTGACCTTTTTAAACTGTAGTGCCCGTAGCCTTGATGGTATTGGATAGATGGGAGCTTGGTTCTTGGGCGTATTTTTTCATCTTGTCTATTATGTCCAATTTCGCTAGAGGGTGGGCCCGTTCGGCGACAGTTCAAGCGAAATTCGGCAGGTTGCATGGTAGTACCCTGATTTTGGGCGGCTCAGTATCCAGAGCTTTGGATGTAGTTGGTACTTGACCTCTGATCGGTGGATGATCACTTGTCATACATTCGCTGCGGTCCACCCATGCGAGAGTGCCGTCAATGTTGAACCAAGTAAGATCCAGCGTGTTCCCTGCTCTGTGTGTCGGTTCTCAAATGATAAGACAGGAAAGTTTGTGTTTGTCAGCCCATTTCTCTATAGCCTCCCCTTGTCCATGTGGGCGAGTTGCCCCCGGCTGCCATGCCTCGTGAACTGAGTTGAAGTCTCCTGCGGCAATGGTCTTTGCGGATGGGGTCGAGTACACAAGTGGTCGTAGTGATACTGGAGGGTCTTTTATATTGAAGTCCCAAGCTAAAGCTCTAGGTCCACTATAGGTACAAGACTGGTGGAGCCAGCGGGGATCACTGCTTACAGGCCAAGCTCATTCCAATCGCGAGACCCGCCACAGAAAAAGTAGAAGGTAAATTATAACTCAGAAGACACCACATACTCCGACTCCGACTCTGAAATCGAAACTCCATCCTTCAACCCTAAATTCAAGTACATAAAAATTGCCTCAGAGAAACGACACTTCTCGCCTAGATCTCTTTTGTGTCATGCAGTGTGGCAATGACTAGTTTGTCTGATCCCCGCTAAGAGCAGTGGATGAGTGGGTGGGATGGCTATCAAAATAGCTGTCCCCACCGCAAATTTTTTGAAGCTTTCGTGGCACTTGGGCCCAAGAAGCTTTTTGAAAAAGTCAGCGTGGGATATTGACTTTCTGAGCCTACGCGTGTGTTGTGCGTGGCGGCTACAGTGGATGAAGTGGGTTGGAGTAGTTTCCTTCCCGCAAGAGCACTCCATAGGAGCGTATGGGTTGTTGAAACGGCGATGGTATTCCGCAAATTGCCGTGACCTGTTCTTGCTGCAATTAGTGCCCGGAAGAGGTGTCTAGAGAGGGACAGTTCGGGTGGTTTGCGTCTCCGCACCTGTAGATTGAGTTAGCGGTATTTAGGCGGACAGGCCTCTTCCCACCAGTAACACTGGGTTGTTTGGTGGTTTGTACACATTTAGAAATGTAACTCCGTTAAACACTACCCAGTAGTAATCCCCTGTTAATTTAGCATAGGGAAATGTCTGCGTTGCAATTATTACCTTGCTTTTTCGGGTGTATGTCGTCGCTCTTGGTCTAATTTCCAAGCTCCCGTGGGGTATATGTCTATTATATCCTGGGTGACCTAGTATCCTTCATATTTCTATCCCACGAAGGCTCCTGTATGTGTACAACATCTAAACCTAGCTCGTGAGCTAGTGAAAGTGCGATGTCGTGGGTTGCGTCGCTTCTACTAACGTTTATTGACGTGTATTTGAGGGCAGAAGGTGCGTAGGTCCGGGCCTATGAGCGGCCCTTACAAATTTTCTTCGGGGTTTAGAGCCCCAAAGCCTGATACATCAACCATGGCTGCAACTGGTGTGTCTGTACTATTAGCAGTCCTTTTCAGGATCTTTTAGCTCTTACTGATACTGGCTGATGCTTTGTTTGCTAGATTTACCGCAGCTTTTGCTCTGCACACGGCGCTATATTCCCTCTGGCTAGCTTGTCGAATGGTCGCAAGCTGTTCTTTTGTGGGCGGACCAGATTTTGTAGGTCGAGCCAAGTATCCTCGGCTTTCTGATCTGTGTGGTCCTACACAGTTCCTGCATCTGATATTTTTTTTTTTGCATCAGATTTTAATTGCGTATGCAGCTATCTAGCTATGACACAATATCAAAGAAAAGTACAGAATAGATGATTCAACCTAAGGGAAGAGCACCCATGCCTCAGATTTCATTTGAAAGTACCACTGCGAAGTTATGGCGGCTTTTTCTTCGCCCCAAGTCAACCCTCATCCGTGAATACCCACCCAGGGGAACATCTCAAAAACCCTGAGTTATCCAGACATGCCTCCATCATCTTTCAACTTTTCTCCGCGCGAAATATGGTCTGAGATATCTCCTTCCCAAATGGAGTAGGTGCCCAGGCTACTCAAACTATACCGGAGAACACCACCAGGAGGCGGACCACAACACCTTCCATCGTTTGCTTGTATTTATAGTGTCAACTGCACTCTCGCAAGCGAAGTCTTGGCGCGCACAAAGCCCAATTCGAAAAACTCCTTACCAAAATTCGGAGTCTCATGCCCTTCGAAGTTATATCCTTCCTCTGTATCATCTTGTCAACTTGTCCTAATCCCTCTCACGTCCATTCCAAAGAACTGTCTCCCAGATTTGTGCGCCACGCTTTGCTTCCTCCATCGGGTATAAATATCGGCGTGGGCGTGTATTTGGTGACCAGCTGAGGCCAGAGAAGGTCGAAGAGTGGTGTGGTCATTGGAATGAGGATGTACTTGGTCGTACTTGTAGACTCGATGAGACGAAGATAGGAGTCAAACTCGTTGGGAGCGAAATAACGAAGTGGATGAGTAGTTTGGATTTTTGCCTCGTGGGCCAACTTCTTTAATATTGCGAAATTTGACTGAACTTGGCTCTGGGAGAATATTTCACTCCCAGGTTCGTAGAGGACACCGCGTACAGGTGTTCAGGTGTTCAGGTGTTCAGTCTTGCCCTCCTCACTAGTCGCGTCTGGCTTGGAGTGAATAGAATCGGGAAGTCTTTTCAGATCCCTAAGAATCTTATCAATGTCAACATCGCTGCATCTAACATTCTGTTGTCTAGAGCTCTGTCGTCGACCAACTGGTCAATTTCCATCTCTTGAGCAGGAGTCAGGGAACCCAGCTTGTCGTATATTTTCCTTCGAACGACATATTTGATATACCTGCGGTTTTCTCCGATGTTTTTCGCTCGCGATGGCTTTCTGCGAACTGAAGGCATTTTGACAATCTGCCAGTCGGTCCCAAATTTTGCGTTGAGGGCGAACGGTTTCACGATATCGAGAGAGGGGAGGGGATAGGATAAAAGGGAAGGTTCGAATATTCGAATTTCAAAAATATTGTGCGCAACTGTGTGTTTATTGTACTAATCGAGTTTTAGACTATCTAGCATATTGGGCTCCTCTCTGGCCCAGGCCACACCTTGTACAGTGCTCCTATCCTCTTTTGTTACTTGAAAGATCATTGATACATTGCCCTTGATGAATAGCCATTCAGCTCAGTATGTACCCGTGGAATTCAGCCACCTTTTCCACGGAACCTTCTACCCAAAAAAAATAAAAATGGTAGCAATGGAAACTGCGTACGCGGGAAAAAGTCTCAAAAAACCTGCAGGCCCAGCCAGGCGAGGCCTAGACACCGGGACCACATGAGGTGCGCATATTCATCTATATCTCCCTTATTTGTAATAGTAGAGGCCGACTTGATCCAATCCACCATCGCCGCATCTGGTGCTAGGTACGCTCCAGAGACTCATCGGATGGCTTCTCCTCCATGATCAAGGATTGGTGATGAGAAGGGCTTTGACCCTACCATCTGATCCGATCGTGGCTAGCTTCATAATAATGTTGATAGGAGAATGTGTTGAGAGATGAAGACGATGCAGACCGCGGAAGCGATTGGGAACCTTCGTCGCAGTGAGGACTTTGTTACTCAACCCCGGCTCTGCATACTCTACAATGAGAGCTGGGGGTTCTGGAGGGGACACCACTGACAGTTGTTGAGAATAGTCCCCTAAGACTACATTGAGAATGCATCCGTCGATATTGTGTCATAATTAGCAAGCTGCATATACAATTAAAATTTGATGCAAAAAACTAATGCATCCCTAGCATTCATTGGTCACTTTCCGGGCGGCTAAGCGCCCCATTCATTTTCTACTGTATTCTGATAGTTTACTTTGCCAAGTATTGTTGATCATTATATCATCTGGAGCATGGGAAATTTCACGTATACAAGGAGGAGTTATAAAGTTAATAAATATATTAATGATCTTTGAAGTAATGTAAGAGAATGGAGTACTGTACAAGGTGTTGCCTGGGTCAGAGAGGAGCCCAATGTGCTAGATAGTCTGAGACACGAGCAGTATAATAAACATACCTCCCTCGTCTCGAAATGCCAGCCATTTGTGATTCCTGGAACTTTAAAGCAGAACCATATAGATGAATTTAAGGGGAGGAATTTTTTTTTTATCGGAAAATTTATCCCTTTTGTAAAATAGGGCTATAAAATAAATATAATCTGATCCCTATTGTAAATATGAAGATAGCCTCATAGTGGGCTTAAGGGGCGTCAAGGTTGGTTAAATCAGTCCAAATCAAGAGGATAAATGATACTCAGAACCATTTACGCCCAAGCTTCCTGCATTGAAACTTTTGCTCTGTTAGGCAAATTTTGGTCATTGATAATGATGAATCAATAGCAGAGACCGGTCGAAGCGAAGAATACGAGCTTAGCTCACCTCCAACCCATACTATGTTGTTTACATATCTTCATTTTTACTAGTTCAAATTACGGTTGTTAAAATTAGGAAAGACGCGAACGAGCAAGGAGCGCTCCAGAAGGTTATGCATGCCGGCTCCACCATTCCTGTACAAAATTACATTATCTAGAATTTGAAAGTGTCTTCACGAGCAGAGCTCAAAAGTTGTCTTTCTAGATATCTGTTTAAAACCTCCATTCATGGCTAGAAAAATTACATTCATCACGGGTAACCAGAATAAACTGATTGAAGTAATTGACATTCTCGGTGATACGGTAGATCTAAAAAGCCAGTCATTGGATTTGACAGAAATCCAAGGAACAATCGAGGAGATATCCTTAGATAAATGCCGAAGGGCAGCAAATGCGGTTTGTTTTGTTCATCTTACATGAAGGTCGCAAGCTCACCTTCCTTCTTGTAGGTCAACGGTCCAGTTCTAGTAGAGGATACATGTCTTTGCTTCAATGCCCTCAAGGACCTACCAGGCCCTTACATGTGAGTCCAGACTTTTGCAATTTACTCGTTGTCCAGAAATCCACTCTCCTCCGCCGGCTAACCTTTCACTAGTAAGTGGTTCCTCAATGCTCTAGGTCACCAAGGTTTGAATGATCTCTTGATGGCATTCCCTGATAAGTCTGCACAAGCAGTGTGTACCTTTGCATACTCGGAGGGCCCTAGCCACGAGCCAATACTATTCCAAGGCAGAACCACTGTGAGTTGATTTTTCATTCACGTTTATGGCATCATTTCTGAACATTACTAGGGAAAGATAGTGCCTGCTAGAGGCCCGTCAAACTTCGGTAGGTCAAAAACTATTATATTATTCTAGTTCTGAACACTACACAGGTTGGGACCCAATATTTGAATACAATGGTAAAACGTAATACTTATGTTCACAAATTTCCAATTTCTGCTAAGTTTCTACAGATATGCTGAAATGAATAAATTGGAAAAGAACAAGATATCACATCGTTTTCGAGCACTTGAAAAATTGCAGGCCTGGCTTCAACAAACGTCATGCTAGCGGTGCTTTTAGTTCATTACTTTATCATTTTTAGTATTGTCCATCTTCCACTGAGCAAACCAAGTCTTAATGCGTTCAATGTTGCAGTCCATGTCATCAAGTTCATTGCTTGAAAGCTCAATAATTATTTCTTCATCATATGCATCTCTGGCTTCCTGAAGCAGGACTTCCATAATCTCCACATCCAGATTCTCTTGCAACTTGGCCTCAGGATAGTTCCTAATTCACAAATCAGTACAAACACCCTAATATTGTTGAGGTATATCCCATCTTGCCTTGATTTTAATCGATCATACAGCAGCGTGGAGTCCACTCGAAGAACAATAACGAGGTCGATCCAACTTTTTGGAAACAATTCGCACGCATGCCAGTCAATTATGCATCCACCCTGTTTCACCTCGTCTTCTATAGAGTCTAGTAGCTAAGATAATTAGTGTTCTGCCTTGATGCGAGAGACATATTTTGAAAAACCTTGTCCTCATCCACAATCCAACTCTGAAAATTCTCGTCATATCCCTCATGACAATCTCTTTCTTTGACAATATCGTTTATAGAGATATGCTTCAGTCCCGTTTCCCTAGATAATATTTCACAATGATTTGTCTTGCCGACACCCGGTGTGCCAGTAATAATGATATTTGGTAAAGTTCTCATAGTTTCTTATTGAACATACTCTCAGAGCCTCTTTAATTATACGGAAACCTAATTGGAAGTCAAGTGGGGATAAAGACCAGGTATTAGGAGGAGTATTTCTGACTGAGAGCTTGGCCTGTCGTAAAAGACGGATGACCACTTGGCGGAAGCGGGACTGGGAAGTCTGGCTGGATTAAGGATTACTCCAGCGACAATGATTTGAAAAAGGCAATTATATTCCAAATAACCAATTAAACTGCTGATTATTTAGGGCATTGAACAAATTTCATTCTAGCAGAGGCCAACAGGATTTTGAAAACTTAAGTGGGTCACAGACAGGCTACCTCTATATTTTTTTTGCATCAGATTTTTTTTGCGCATGAAGTTTTCTAGCTATGACACAATATCAAAGAAAAGTACAGAATAGATGATTCAACCTAAGGGAAGAGCACCCATGCCTCGGATTTCATTTGAAAGTACCACTGCGAAGTTATGGTGGCTTTTTCTTCGCCCCAAGTCAACCCTCATCCGTGAATACTCACCTAGGGGAACGTCTCAAAAACCCTAAGTTATCCAGACATGCCTCCATCATCTTTCAACTTTTCTCCGCGCGAAATATGGTCTGAGGCGTCTCCTTCCCAAGTGGAGTAGGTGCCCAGGCTACTCAAACCATACCAGAGAACACCACCAGGAGGCGGACCACAACACCTTCCATCGTTGGCTTGTGTTTATAGTGTTAGCTGCACTCTCGCAAGCGAAGTCTTGGCGCGCACAAAGCTCAATTCGTGAAACTTCTTGCCAACGCAGTGACTCCCGGTCTTTGACTCCTAGGAGATATAGAGCATAGCTTAGAACCCTAAAAAAAAAACGTAGTGACTTTCACAGCCGGCAATGACGAATTCTTCACCTTTCAGTGGTGCCGGTGTAATCGCTCAGTATGCTCTGCGTATCTGGGATAGCCAAGAAGAATCGCATCCGAATCGAAGTCGAAAGCAACTTTAAGCATATCAAAATTGACGACTTCTTGAAGAATGTTTGACCTCTCATTCCCACGCGAGTCCTCCCGCTCAATCTTACTACACCACCTCGCCTGAAATAACTGTAATGGCGATACTTCAATTGCAATCGGGCAATTGCCTCATCAAAAATCGGCCATCTCCCACTATAAATTTACGACGCTATCTATACCTGCGAGGAGGAAATTAGGTCATAATCTACAAAGCTCGGGTCTTAGCCTTTGGGGGACCTTTGCTCTAATGGGGCTTCACATTTTGAGGTAGGACAGGTAGCTGGGACGTGTGACGAACGATTAAAGAGGTCACAAATGTGCATACTCGGACGCACATTTTTCGAGTGTTTTCGACTTTGAAGGACTTGTGAGTGCTGAGGCTACGATTTTGAATAGTGCTGCCGACACTTTCAACACAGAAATCAATGGACGGTGTTTTGCTTCGCCTCCTGGTTGTCATCTCCCTGAATTAAAGTCTGGGTAGCCTGGATACCTACCTCCCTCGAGAAAGGGAGGACTGTGAGGCCATATCTCGCGCGGCGGCTATACACAACATGCCAAAGGCATGTTAGGGTAGCCAAAGGTTTTTCCTATTTTCCCTTTGGCGGATATTAACGATTGAGGGAAGGGTGAAAGTCCCTAGCACCAAGGTCTCGAGTGGTATAAGCGAATGCATCCACTACATGAATAGTCAAAATGTCAAACTGAGTTATCGTCGTATATAGTCGTCGGAGAAGCTAGTCTTCTCTGTGTCATGCTCTTTGAGTGCAGGGTTCGTGCCCGTCAAGAATAAAAAACAATTAAACAAACAATAACCAAACCCTTCAGTAACTGCCATTAACCATCACCTGACTTATCTCTGTACTCCATAATTTCAACGTTTGGGTAGAAATTGGGAGCTATTTCCCATGTCATAAGCAATAATCTCTCACATCTTTACGTTTATCTTCCACAATTTAGTGCTATTTAAAATCATTCATTGTGTATTCGGCTATCTAGCTATGAAACATGATAGGTACTATGTGTACACGTTGCATGACTCTCTCGACGCTAGAGACACTCATGCTGTGGATTCCATTCGCAAATACCGCTATGAGTTATTTTTGCTTACCAAAACTATCGACCCCTCTCCATGGGCACCCACCAAGAGGTGATTCAAAATCTTTGATTATTCAAGCGTGACTTCGTCATCCTTGTAAATCTGCATCGCGAGAAACGTGGCTGTTAGTTAGTTCATTGTATTGTCCTATCTGAGTCTATGACTCTATAGGATATACACGTCCTCTCTGCCTGATTATTAGGGTATCACTCTCAGGATCAACTGGCATATAATTATAAATTAAAAATTAACCTATTAATTAAAGAGCTATTTAGGTAGATTTTTAAGTAGTCTATCATAGTCTAGGGCTCAGTAGAGACTTAAATTCAAATCAATAAATTAATCCTCTCTGCCTACAGGCCAAGCATACCTATACCAGTAGTATATCCCCTCCTATGCCTCCCATTCAGCTCCCATCAAACAGTACTACCCCTTACAACTCCTCTTTCGATCATACACTTAGAGGAGCCCTTAGCCTTTCATTATCTCCCCTCTCCAGCCAACGAAACGATGGCCATTTGCGGGTGTATGGCAGCCGGGAAAAATCGCAAAAACCACTGGGTGCGGAGCTCTCCTAATACCGACATTAGGACTAAATCCGAAGACAAAGTGCCCCTTCTGAAGCGTTCGAAGAGGCCGGCCAGCTGGGCGCTGCAGACTTGTGGGTACCTCGGGAAATTCACACTCTGCCTTTCTAGCCTCCTTCCCGAAGATCGTGCTGAAATGTTAGAAAAGCATTGATAGAGCGTGATTGCTGTACACTATCTTAGCCCAACTTCTTTCGTGCCGTTGACTCATCGGCAGTAGAAGTCCTCCTGGCTAATTAGCCGAAATCTTGGTCTTGGCGCCCAAAAACATTCCAAAGTTGAAAACTCCTCGAAAATGTCAGTCTCAGTATGGTCTTCAATGACCTGTTACCCCTCTCGTTCCACATCTCAGCCGCCTGTCCTTCCTCAAGATGTATAACCTCATTAGAGCAGCAGTCCCCCATAAACCAAGACCCCAACTTTGTAGATTATGACTTAATTTCCTCCTTGCGGGTATACGCAGCGTCGTAAATTTGTAGTGAGTGATGGCCGGTGATGAATGAGGCAAGCTCCTGTTTGCAATTGAGGTGATGCCTTTATCGGTCGTCGAGTCGAGATGATGTGTGGTTAGAATGAGGTTGAGGACTCAGAAGATAATGGTGGGTGCTGCATGATTGAGAAGTTGTCAAATGGAGATATTGTTGGAGAGTGTGTATGGATTCTAAGAGGAAACTCACTCAAAGAATATAGGCACAGCTTCAAAGTACTTCGTAGCAGTTCAATCAAATAAATTATTCACGTAAATCGTTCTTGTTATATTATATTATTCGTCAGAATGTTTTAAAGAATGTACATCTAGGTTTCTACATATTACTCGTGTTCTTTGTCTGACGCTAAAACCAATTTCAGTCTAGTGCAATTGTGCGCCAAGTTATTCCTAAGCAGCCTTGCCGATCATCACAGACAATCGTGTAGCTCTAGAGTAAGCAACTGGTGCGAAATTCCAACAGATATGCTTAAAGTTGCTTTCGACTTCGATTCGGATGCGATTCTTCTTGGCTATCCCAGATACGCAGAGCATACTGAGCGATTACACCGGCACCACTGGAAGGTAAAGAATTCGTCATGCCGGCTCATCCGATCTTAAACAAGAGGCAGAAAGACAGATCACTCGCTCCGTATAGGACACGGTTTAAGGACACGAGTAAAGGACATTAGTGCTGGCTCTACAGAGCTGAATCACTCGTGGACAACGAGTATTTGTTTGTTATAGGAAACGTGTACTGTAATTCCATTAAGTCTTTATTTTTATAACAATTGTTGTATCATACCAACACTTAATACTTAGTTATTAATAAGATATCTTCCGCGTAGGGTAATCCTGACTTAACCCCATGCGCGCCGTATCAGTATTTTTATTACAAATATCAAACCATAAAATTATTAGTACGTAGCCTTGCCAAAAGTGCGGAGATGAGTCAAAAATTATCGTTTGAAAAGTTGGTTAGTGTAAAAGATCCAAAGTCTTTCATTGTTGACCAACATGTCTAGGAACTATTTGTTGAAATCTAGACATTCTAGACCGAACTGCACGCAGTGTGGAGTAGACGAAGACTACTCATCTCCGATCGCTACCAGCATTGATGAGGTCTCGGTTGGTAATGATCTCGGTGGTGTGAATGTTATTCCATCACGTAATCAGAACACAATGTCTCTACCTAAGCGAGGTAGAACACAGATAGACAATTAGATGTAGATTGAAATACTAACACTTCCAAATACCGAAAAATAAGTTTAGTAAAACCAAAACCTCACTGATCCTAAACTTTTATCTCTGTTCCTTAAATCCCCAATATCTTACGATTCGTCCAGTATTGACTTGACGGTCAACGTTCACTTCCATAATTCCAGATACCCCTTAGAATTTTAATACTATTGATACAGCTACTGAAGCAACGTAAATTAGAGCTGTATTTGCGAATGAAATACAGAGTATGAGTGTCTCCAACATCAAAAGAGTCATCCAATATGTATACATAGCACCGGTCATGTGTCATAGATAGATAGCTGAATACACATTAAATGATTTTAAAAAAAAATAGACATGTCAGCTTGCTATCAGCTGAAAACAAGCACGCGTGATATATCGCGTTTATGTCATGATCTATAATATCAGTGGTCGAGATTAGAGCGTCGCTCATAGCTCAAGGCCATAGTATACGTCAGTAGTGTAGTGGTTAGGCGAGCATATATATAGTTTCATAGATGTACCCACTAAAAAAGGGTACAGGTATTGTTTTATACATTCTGTTCATATCCCTACAGCATAATATTGCATAAGTATATTTACTGTTGCCGATAGCTAATAACATTATCCTCCCCTCAGCGCTCCGCAGTGGATCCCACGCATTGCTTATAACCACAACAGTTTAACCACAGAGATGATTGCCATAGGTTTAGAGGGCAGTGCCAATAAACTAGGCGTCGGGATAATATCTCACCCAGGACAAGGTCTACCGGCAAAGATTTTGTCCAATATTCGACACACCTTCATATCGCCTCCGGGTGAAGGATTTCTTCCCAAGGACACTGCAAAGCATCATAGATCATGGATAGTCGGTTTGATCAAGCAGGCATTGACAGAATCAGGATTGAAGATAAGTGATATAGACTGCATTTGCTACACCAAAGGGCCAGGAATGGGTGCACCTCTTCAAAGCGTGGCAATAGCTGCTCGAACTCTCGCCATGCTATGGAACATAGAACTAGTGGCTGTCAACCATTGTGTTGGACATATAGAAATGGGACGGGAAATAACCGGCAGTCAGAATCCTGTCGTCCTTTACGTCAGCGGTGGAAACACACAGATCATTGCGTATGCGGAGCAACGCTACCGTATTTTCGGTGAAGCCCTAGACATTGCTGTTGGCAACTGCCTGGATCGGTTTGCACGCACACTTGGAATTAGTAATGATCCTGCACCTGGCTACAACATTGAGCAACTCGCAAAGAATGGCAAAGTTCTACTAGATTTGCCTTATACAGTAAAGGGTATGGACTGCTCATTTTCAGGAATCTTAGCATGTATCGACCAGTTGGCCGTTGAATTAAAAGCGACCTCTAAAATTCGATGCTGTACGGCTGAAGAAACCATCACCACCGCAGATCTCTGTTTCAGTTTACAAGAGACAATATTTGCAATGTTGGTCGAAATTACAGAGAGAGCAATGGCCCATGTTGGGTGCAGCGAAGTATTAATTGTGGGAGGGGTAGGCTGCAATGAAAGATTACAGGAAATGATGAAGATAATGGCCCATGACAGAGGTGGTCAAGTGTTTGCGACTGATGAGCGCTTTTGCATTGATAATGGAATAATGATAGCTCACGCGGGATTATTGGCCTACGGCACTGGATTTAGAACTTCCATCGAAGAAAGTACATGTACTCAGCGCTTTCGTACGGACGAGGTCTTGATCAAATGGAGGACTTAATAGTAAAAGGATTGTAAAAACATTCGCTCTCTAACGTTCAGTCTGTGAAGGAACCCAATTTTGCAATGAATAAGTCGATTTATTAAACTACACAAAGAGAAAAGTCATCTTTAGCCACTTCTAACAGGTACTAATATCAAATGATCCACTCCAAGAATCTGTTGACTGATAAACTTCCTCTAGAACTAGTTCTTATTACTATGCCATGTATTGTCAGGAATCATAGCACATCTAGCATGCAGGCTCACCATGACTACCAGGTAAAGATGAAATTCGTTTGTGCAAGGCATCTTCTACAATATCTTCATTCAAGGAGATTTATATTTTGAAGAACATTGTGCCTGCCAAGCTTTCGATTGCAGTAGTGCAGCTGACACTATAAACACAAGCCAACATTGGAAGGTGCCGCGTTCCGCCTTCTGGTGGCGTTCTCTGATGTAGTGTGAGTTTCCTGGGCACCTAATCCGCTTGGGAAGAAGACGCTTCAGAGCACATTTCGCGCGGAGAAAAGTCAATGCATGATGGAGGCATGCCAGGAAAATTCAGGGTCTTTGAGACATTTCTCTGGGTGAGTATTCACGGATGAGGGCTGGCTTGAGTAAAAGAAACCCCCGCCATAACTACGCAGTGGTACTTAAAAATGAAATCCGTGGCATGAGTGCTCTACATTTATATTATGCCATATTTTCTGTAATTTATGTCTGATATTGTGTCATAGCCAGATGGCTGCATACGCAAATAAAATCTGATACAACAAAATATTGCCGACTGACAGAGTCGTTTACTATGTACCTTACCTCGGAAATTGTATCATAGCTAGTTAGCTGTCTACGCAATTAGAATCTGATGCATAAAAATCATCTACATTAATCTCCCATTTAACAGGAGCATCCGTTGCGAGCCATCGATTCTTCATGAAGTTAGGGATAAGTTTATCAGTCAGATATGTATCCGGCTGGTAGGGCTTAATATATTTCCGCTTTTGCTAGTCACGTCTTGCGCAGTAACACCAACGTAACATTGTCATCATTACAGTATCCATTTTTATCTGCTCCGTGGGCATCTATTGTATATAAAGAGCAAAGTGAATGAGTAAGGGTCAAATTATCAGTGTATTTACACGAACTACAGAATAAATATGGCACGATTGGTAGTGCTCGCTGTAGGCTCGGCACCATCCTATTAACGTTGTACCACCTTGGGGTAAATTACGCAACATCACCGCCAAACCCTACAGGTTTTCGCATGCCACCATTTTCTGGAACTATTGCCATGGCCTTGTATATCCTGCCCATGCCATTCTCTCCTTGATCTACAAGTCTCTTCCATGCAATTTCAACATGCTTCTGCTTTTCAATTTGATGACTTGGAATACCATCCGACAGCATTTTTGCTCTCTCTCTGATCCCCATTGCCATTAAAAAAAATCCTTGTTCAACAGGCCCGTGTATTTCAATTCCTGGTGAAGCTGCAAGAGCTGCTTCAGCCAGGGCGGCAAAATCCACATCGGCAGATAAGTCTACTAGGCCCGGACGGGTAAATGGTGAGACACGTTCATGCCTGTAAATCCCTCGGAGGGAATTTTGAGGGACCGAATCTTGCGGCCCATAGTCAAGAATTAAAGCTGCACCTGACGGGCTAGACCGAGGGCTATTAGATGTGCCGCCGATACGTTTTGCGATTTCCTGGGCATATACGAGCGACTCGGGTGAAATTTCGAGCACCGTATTTGCATCAGACTTTAGAGTCCGGTACCTTTGGGACATCTCGGGTAAAAAATTGCTTTGAGACGTTGATTTTTGAGAGATTGTGAGTTGGAATTCATCAGCAAAGCCATTAGATGAATTGTTGACGCTAGCAGAAGGATTTTCCAAGTCAGGGGAAACTGGTGAGACAACTAGCTCTCTCCACTGAGGAGCTTGTAGAGCCTTGGCAGCGGTGCTTGTGATTCGATGATTCCCAGTGGGTGTCTGAATAGACTCTTTAATAGGATTTGAAGGGAGCAATGGTTGAAAAGCATGTATAGGTAAAGCGTCGAAGAACTCATGCGCAACAATGAACGGGACTGAATCAAGGGCTATAACTAATGAGTCTAGTGAAAGTTATATCAATATATAGGGGACTTCCATGAAGGGACAAACCGTAAATTGTCTGTCCAAATAACAGGAATGTTCATTCGCTTGCATAGGCTTTCGTAGCCGATAGAGATTTCTACCATAGGGGCATCGCCGCATAGGAGTTTTTTTTGGGCTTCCCGTAATGATGGGCTAACCTCGACCAAATATATTGCATCTATGCTGGATTTAATAGCCTTGAAATTTTCTATTGTCTGCATAATCATTAGCTTTACAGAAGAACTCTCTTTGTACCTACCCGTAGAATATCGTCCATCAATGTTCCCATGCCTGGTCCTATTTCAATCATCTGAACACCTTTACGTTGTCGGCCTTGGGCCATCCATTCTGTAGCAAACCAGATGCCAATGAGTTCCCCAAATATCTGAGAGATTTCTGGTGACGTGACAAAGTCACCTTTTTTCCCGAATACGTCTCTGGTAGGCTGTTTTGAACTGTAGTATCCGTCAAGGTCAGAAGTTAAGCACATGCGCATGAACGCAGCAAGAGAAATTGGTCCTGTTGTCTTGGGATGGAATAATTAGTGACCATTCGTTCTTGCGACAGGATCAAAAAGCTCACAGTTATAGCCTCAGAGAGTTGCTTAGCTAGTGGAGTAGACCAATTCTCCCTCGTGGATAGCCATCGCGAGGAAACTATCGGAATTTTGAATTTTACTGTAAATTGTTTTGAGTGACGTAGACAACGAAGTGAGAAGAGCCCCAAGTGAGGAATCATTTCGTGTATTGGATATCTGCTTTAATTAGGCGCCGTGATGCTTGTGTCAAGTCGTAAAATTTTTGTTTTACAAAACCAATGGTCTCCAACAATTTAGATCCATTATTGGACAAGCAACCTGATCAATGAATACTCTAACCAAGTCGCGATGGACCGATGATGGAGAAAAATCTCCCACACCGGTGAAAGCTACCAAAAGTATTACTGGTTTAAAGAGACACAAGACAGAAAGGCAGTGTGAAGCCACCGAGAGCACAAGAGAGCCAGTAGAACCTTTCGAGCCCAATTCAAACCCAACAGCTCGAGCAGCTAAGCGTCTAAAGCTACCTAGCAGTGAGACTGGGACTCCAGAAAAAGAAACATCCACGTCAACGAAGCTATTACGCTTCCCGGCACCATCATGGCAAAAGTGTAGAAGCATTGAGGAATATGAGAAGCTAAACGACATTGAAGAAGGTTCCTATGGCTGGGTATCACGGGCAAAGGATACAACTACAGGTGAAGTGGTTGTGGTGAAAAGATTAAAGATGGATACTTGGAATAGTGGCATACCTCTGACTGGATTACGGGAGATACAGATCTTGAGAGATTGTGAGCATCAAAATATTCTCAAATTAAGAGAAGTAGTGGTAGGAGAGGATGAAAATAAAATCGAAAAGTAAGTAGTCTTCTTACTAGGAACTCAAAAAAAGTGCTGCTAACAAATCAAATTAGTATCTTTATCGTCCTTGATTTCATAGAACACGACCTTCATACTTTGTTACAAGACATGTCTGAGCCGTTTCTAGTATCTGAGATTAAAACAATTCTACTACAGCTTATATCAGGTGTATCTTATCTTCACACCCACTGGATCTTACACCGAGATCTCAAAACTTCAAATCTTCTTCTCAACAATCGTGGAGTCCTCAAAATTGCCGATTTTGGCATGGCTCGCTACTTTGGTGACCCTCGTGCCACGCTGACACACTTAGTGGTCACCGTCTGGTATAGGGCTCCTGAACTTATTCTAGGCGTTAAAGATTATGGCACCAGTATTGATACATGGAGTATTGGATGTATTTTTGGTGAGCTTTTGGCAAAAGAACCATTAATACAGGGCAAAGATGAGATTGATCAACTCTCTAAGATCTTTGAGATTTGTGGTACTCCTACGCAAGAGATTTGGCCTGGATTTAAATTTCTCCCTAATGCACGTCTTCTTCGCTTGCCGCAAACACCTATTGCACAAGGATCAGTCTTGAGGGCCAAGTTTCCTTTCTTAACAGCAATAGGAAGCTCTCTACTCATCGAATTATTAAGCCTAAATCCTGCAAAAAGACCAAGGACAGAAGATATATCTAATCATGCTTTCTTCCGAGAGGACCCAAAGCCCAAGAGTAGCAAGATGTTTCCAACTTTCCCCAGCAAGGCGGGTCAGGAAAAGAGACATAAAATGAACACGCCTAATGCACCCCTTAGGGAAAGTGTTTCCAAAAGCATGGCTGCAAGTTCCAGTGATATTTTCGCAAGAAGAGAAGATGAAGAAAGAGGTAGTGGGTTTTCCCTGAGATTAATATGAAACCACCTTCAATATAGCCATGGAACCCTATGCTTCAATATAGAAATTTGAAAATTACAAAAGACTATGAACAAAATTGAATCTATACAATATTTTTCCATGTTAGGTCACTCACATTATATCTATAATTTCAAAAATTATAGACTGTCGACAGTTAAAATGAGATACTTGAGGTAATGCTTTCTGCAGATTTCATACTAAAAGTGATGACTGATAAGCTATCATCGCTTATAGCCATAACATCTAAAAAACAGAAGGAAAAGTTTGAATTTCAGGTCATTGAAGACTTCAGAAAACTTTGATAAAGCCTTTGTGGACGCTGACGGCTTTGCCTAACCATCTTTTCATTTTTTAAAGTACAGGACAGAAGGCTTGTCTTACACAGATAATAACAAATATTAAAAGATGATAGAATCTGGCCTCGCGCGTTTACGCTATTGGCGCTGTTGGCGCGATATCCGATATCATTTCCTGCTAGGCCTAAGAGCTTCGCCCTTTCCTCCGATCTAAATATATGTCCAGGGAAAAACCTCGAAATTTAATAAAGACCCCTAGGATATTATCACTATTCTACAAAATATAGCAGCGGGAAATTCAAAATCGTGGGCCTCACGTCCCGAAAGATGTAGCTGCTGGGCTACTCAGACTCCGCCTTTGGGGGACGCAGTAGTCTCATTGGATGCTATTTTATTCGCTAAATATGGAATATAAGAAAATGTTCTTATAAATATTATATATTGTTGCTCCTAGAGAGACCTTGAAAAAGGGGAGAGATGATTGATTGGGGATTCTCAGTTTTTGCCCAACATAACAGTGTCGTTTTTACAGTAAAATTTGACAAATTCATAAATTTTATAGTTTAATCGACTGTCAGGTTCAAAATGAGTACAGTTAGCAGTATTTAGATGCTTGTTGTTTATATTATGCATTATTGTCTTGACCACCACTTGGCAAGACTTGAAGTCAACAGCGTTTAAGCCTATATACATATATTTAAACAACCAGAGACTGAAACATGGAGAAAATAAAATATTCCAAAGGTGTCTGATTGAGTTACTATCTCAGTCAGCTTTTATTGCATCAGATTTCAATGGCGTATGCAGCTAGCTAGCTATGACATGATGTCTGGAAAAAAGTACAGAAAATATGATTCAATATACAAGAAGAGCACTCATGCCTCCGATTTTATTTGCAAGTAACACTGCGGAGTTATGGCAGCTTATCCTTCTATCCAAGCCAGCCCTTATCCGTGAATACTCACCCAGAGAAATGTCTCAAATACCCCGAATTTTCTCCGCGCAAAATATGCTTTGAAGCGATTCTTTCCCAAGTTGAGTAGGTGTCAGAGATATAGCGTGATACGTGATGTGGTTAGAATTAGTAGTGCGGTGGTTCTGTGTTTACGCGCCGTAGATAGGAAGACGGTAGAATATTTGTGACGTCCTACAGCTCCGAACCCTAACGCATTTCTATGCCTAGGAAACTCAGACTATATCGGACAACACCACCAGGAGGCGGACCACAACACCTTCCATCGTTTGGTTGTTTCTACAGTGTTAGCTGCACTCTCGCAAGCGAAGTCTTGGCGCGCACAAAGCTCAATTCGTAAAACTCCCTGCCAAAATTCGGAATCTCATGCCCTTCGAGGTTATATCCATCCTTCGCATCATCTTGTCAACTTGTCCAGATCCCTCTCATGTCCATCCCAAAGAACTATCTCCCAGATTTTTGCGCCACGCTTTCCTTCCTCCGTCGGGTATAAATATCGGCGTGGGCGTGTATTTGGTGACCAGTTGAGGCCAGAGAAGGTCGAAGAGAGGCGTGGTCATCGGAATGAGGATTTACTAGGTCGTATTTGTAGACTAGATGATATCTAAGTCGGAGACTATCCCGTTGGGAATGAAAAAACGACGTGGTGGAGTAATTTGAATCAATGCGTCGTGGGCCAACTTCTTTGACATTGCGAAATTTGACCGAGCTTGGCTCTGGGAGAATATTTCACTCGCAGGTTCGTAGAAGATACCACCTACAGGTGTTCAGTCTTGCACTACCTCAAACAGATTATAGACAAGCCTAAGCATAATATGGATGAACATTCGTAGACCTCACTTTCGTATGGTTGGGGGGACTGTTCTCAACACCTGTCAGCGGTGTCCTCTACGACCTTAGGTAGAGAACCTCAGTGATCTAATCATAATACGAGATGGAGCCAATAACGTTTGCAATTCATATTAATTAACGTCGTGCCCGCGCACAGCAAATGAGAAATTCACGCGCCAGTTGAGGGTGTGGATGCTTGTTGTCCTCATGAGCCTATGACTATTACAGGACATGTAGATCCTTTCTGCCTGCAGGCCAGGGATACCTATACCAGTAGTATATCCCCTTTTATGCCTCCCATACAGCTCCCCCGGAGGTTGAGACTGAGCACCTGTAGGTGGTGTCCTCTACGAACCTGCGAGTGAAATATTCGTTTTTCCGCTCCCAACGAGTTTGACGCCTACCTAAGTCTTATCAAGTCTACAAGTACGACCTAGTACATCTTCATCCCAATGACCACATCTCTCTTCGACCTTCTCTGGCCTCAGCTGGTCACCAAATACACGCCCACGCCGATATTTATACCCGACGGAGGAAGGAAAGCGTGGCGCAAAAATCTGGGAGATAGTTCTTTGGGATGGACATGAGAGGGATCTGGACAAGTTGACAAGATGATGCGAAGGACGGATATAACCTCGAAGGGCATGAGATTCCGAATTTTGGCAGGGAGTTTTACGAATTGAGCTTTGTGCGCGCCAAGACTTCGCTTGCGAGAGTGCAGCTAACACTGTAGAAACAACCAAACGATGGAAGGTGTTGTGGTCCGCCTCCTGGTGGTGTTCTCTGGTATGGTTTGAGTAGCCTGGGCACCTACTCCACTTGGGAAGGAGACGCCTCAGACCATTTTTCGCGCGGAGAAAAGTTGAAAGATGATGGAGGCATGTCTGGATAACTTAGGGTTTTTGAGACGTTCCCCTAGGTGAGTATTCACGGATGAGGGTTGACTTGGGGCGAAGAAAAAGCCACCATAACTTCGCAGTGGTACTTTCAAATGAAATCCGAGGCATTAGTGCTCTTCCCTTACGTTGAATCATCTATTCTGTACTTTTCTTTGATATTGTGTCATAGCTAGATAGCTGCATATGCAATTAAAATCTGATGCAAAAAAAAATACAGCTCCCCTCACAAATCCTCATTCGATCAAACACTTAGATGAGCCCTTTGCCCTTCATTATCTCCCCTCTCCAGCCAACGAAACGATGGCCATCTGCAACATGATTTCGGGATGTTATAATTGATATCCTAATTTTTTGCAGTCGTAAAATTGTTGAAGGATGAGCTTCCGACTAAAAAAAGATTAAGACCAGTCCTCTCGATCGCAACCTCGGAAAGGCTATTGAGTCCCTCATTTTTCATGACTGATACTTGATCTCAAGGAAATACATTCCCCTTCATTTTTAGAAGACAACTTAAAAATGTACTCGGTTTTTATCCTTCTCGCAAATTGGGTCTAGAAGCACATGAGACTCTTATATACAAAAAATTATTTACCAGACTTGAAGGTTTGGCATCTTTCTAGACTATTTATAATCAAATTAGTCCTACCCATAGATTCTGAATTATCTAACACCATCCCTTAAGTCCTGCTCATTTCTGTTTGTGCGCTATTATTTGAGACATTTTATGGGTTTCCACAACATCGCAACTACGTACTTGGAATCTAGCGGAGGCCAGAGACTTAGCGTATGAGGAAAGTCATGTTACAGGAAAATTTTGTAGTCGTATGTGTAGATTATATGAGAATTAAGCTGAAATCTGGCCTAATTCATGATGAATGATTGACATCCTTAGAAAATTTGAATCGCTTCAAGTCCAATATAGTTTGTAGTGAAAATTTCGGCCCAACCCCGACCATGAACAGAGTTCTTATTTTTTAGTTCATGCAGGAGATTGTTGAGAGGTGTTTCATCTTATTCTTAGGTTATGAAAAGAGTACTGTAGACAACGATTGGCTAAATCGAATGCAGCCTCATCCGATATTATATTGTAAAGAGTACTTGGGATGCTGATGACGTAGAACACATATTTTAAAGAATTGAACTGACAGTGGATTACTGCAATATTTCTAAAGCTTGGATGTTCTACAGTTGTTGAAATAACTGGGTTGATATATCTTGTGTATGAAAATATTTTCTTGGAAATGAAACTGAACATAAACTTCTAATATTACATTGGTCCAGGATATAGGAGGGTTTAACAAAGGAATATTTTGGAGGAAAATTCCAAAATATTGATTGCAAAAGCCTACTCTTATATTTTTATTCCTTCGATTTGTACCTGCTCTTACAAATATACACTAACGAAAAACTCCCTAGTTCTCTCCAAATATTTTTTTAGTACTAATAGCTGGAAACCTTAGTTCTAAAATAGTTGTAATTTAGCATTTTGAAACATATGCTGTGTTAGTTACAGAGCCTTTCATATATGTGTTGAAGGCTGAGGAAATAATCAAGAACAGCTTTAAATCTGCGCCAACTTAATGAGACCATCTACACAAATGTTTTGAATTTTTATAGGCTCTGAATGTTTTTTTAGAGTATTATATCCCGGTGTACAATACTTCCTGGCTCTTCAACTTAATCGGCGATAAGTACCAGGATTTGATATGATTAGATGGAGTTTGACTTGCTCATCTCGAATCATCAAATGATATGGTATGATCATGAATCTTAATGCGGGATTTACTTCTTAGATAAGTTTGTAATATGTATTTTATCTCTTGACCCAGGCAGGCATTTTTCTTGCTTTGACGTGACCTGGCTTCTTTCTTTCCACTTTTCTTGGATCCCGCGTAATACATCCAGCTGCACAGTTAAGTTAGCAGGCTTTAGATTAAATTCAATCTTTGAAGATGCACTGGGAGCAATCGACATACCTCGTCTCAAAGCAGGCTTTAAGGCTGGTTCATGACCTAGTAGTGCTTTTGCTACTGCTAAAGTTAAAGACTCGGCTTGGCCTGTTGTTCCACCACCCTCAACGCGACACCATAGATTGTACTTGTCAACCCTCATAGTTGCCTTGAGCGGCCAGATTACGGTCTCCCTGTCATGTATTCTTCCGAAAGCTTCAGACAGCGTTTTTCCATTTACTAATACTTCTCCAGTGCCCTCTACTAGCCATGCTCGTGCAGTTGATGTTTTACGCCTACCAACGCCTAGTGATCTTCCAAAGCCATCGATAGGTGATATTTTGGTTGACGCGGCCTCGGGCACTGTATCACGTTTAAATGTATCAAGGGCTTTCTCAACCTCTGAGGGCATCACTGCTGGATGAATTTGATTTAATCGTTTTAAAACTTGAAGCATTTGCTGATACCGACTGTTCTTGATCTTTTCTCCGATCATATTTTTGTATTCCCGACCAGAAAGCCATGCTACCTTGGGCGTGTCTCGAGGATCTAAGACTGGTAGTTTTTGGTTGTTCTCAAGAATCTTGTCGAAGCTTATAAGTGTATCGGTAAAGTTGGGTTGGACTGTGAAGTAAGAGCGTGATTCTGGCACTACACGTGCATATTGTGTTTTATCTTGCTCTCCCTTGAGCTCCTGTACATCTGTTGGCTGGTGGGAATTTCTTCGTATATGATCTATTGTATCAAAGTTTATCTCTGGCGCAGCAATGCCTTCATGTAGCTTCGTTTCGGTCATGAACGGTCTGATCCGTGCCTTTTGAAGTCGGATAGCACTTTCTAACGTAGGAAATTGAAGCCATGTAGTATATCGAAGCCCCAGGGGGGCTTTGTTAAAAATGCAGGATAATCTCATGTTATGTATGATACAGATAGGGTTTGATGAGACCTACGCCTGTTCGAGTGAGCCCCCAGACTCAAATGCACAGTAATGACAAGCGTTTTCTCACATAAAAAGTTTACCTAGTTTGTTGCGAACTGAATCGAAAGATATGTGGGTTGATAATGCTTGATAGGAAACGGACTACCGGATACTTTGGGCAAGGATAAAGGCATAGATCGGAGGCACTAAAATATGGCAGCTAATTTTTTACGATGTTTCCACATCTACTAATTTATTGCACTCTCTCGATTTGACTGTATGACAGAAGTAGGCCAGCACTGCCTATAGATCATGATTACATACGCATCCTTGAAGGTCCCATCTGACAACGCCATTTGTCGCAAGCCTCAATTTGACCACATTGATAGAGAGACCTTTCTTGTTCCATTTCCCCCCCGCTAAAACCAAAAAATTGAGCCGGCAAAGATGAATTCTTCACCTTCCAGTGGTGCCGGTGTAATCGCTCAGTATGCTCTGCATATCTGGGATAGCCAAGAAGAATCGCATCCGAATCGAAGTCGAAAGCAAACACACGCATATCTCCATTTCGCGACTTCTCAATCATGCAGCACCCACCATTATCTTCTAATTCCCCAACCTCATCCTAACCACACATCATCTCGACTCGACGACCGATAAAGGCGTCACCCCAATTGCAAACAGGAGCTTGCCTCATTTATCACCGGCCATCACTCACTACAAATTTACGACGCTACGTATACCCGCAAGGAGGAAATTAAGTCATAATCTACAAAGTTGGGGTCTTGGTTTATGGGGGACTGCTGCTCTAATGGGGTTATACATCTTGAGGAGGGACAGGCGGCTGAGATGTGGAACGAGAGGGGCAACAGGTCTTTGAAGACCATACTGAGACTGACATTTTCGAGGAGTTTTCAACTTTGGAACGTTTGTGGGCGCCAAGACCAAGATTTCGGCTAATTAGCCAGGAGGACTCCTACTGCCGATGAGTCAACGGCACGAAAGAAGTTGGGCTAAGATAGTGTACAGCAATCACGCTCTATCAATGCTTTTCTAACATTTCAGTACGATCTTCGGGAAGGAGTTGGAAGGAGGCTAGATAGGCAGAGTGAGAAATCTCCGAAGTGCCCACAAGTCTGTAGCGCCCAGCTGGCCGGCCTCTTCGAACGCTCCAGAAGGGTCACTATGTCTTCGGATCTAGTCCTAATGTCGGTATTAGGAGAGCTCCGCACCCAGTGGTTTTTTGCGATTTTTCCCGGCTGCCATACACCCGCAAATGGCCATCGTTTCGTTGGCTGGAGAGGGGAGATAATGAAGGGCGAAGGGCTCCTCTAAGTGTATGATCGAATAAGGACTTGTGAGGGGTGGTACTGTTTGAGGGGAGCTGTATGGGAGGCATAGGAGGGGATAAACTACTAGTATAGGTATACTTGGCCTGTAGGCAGAGAGGACCTGCATGTCCTACATAGTGTGTTTGTGTGTTTATATTTTACTACTTGAGTATATGACTATCTAGCACATTGGGCTCCTTTATAACGAAGGCCACACCTTGTACAGTGCTCCTATCCTCTTTTGTTACTTGAAAGATCATTGATATATTCCCCTTTATGAATAGCCATTCAGCTCAGTGTTTACCCGTGGCATTCGGCCACCTTTTCCACGGAACCTTCTACCCAAAAAAAAAAAAATGGTAGCAGTGGAAACTGCGTACGCGGGAGAAAGTCTCAAAAAACCTGCAGGCCCAGCCAGGCGAGGCCTAGACACCGGGACCACATGATGTCCTACATAGTCATAGACTCAGATAGGACATTAAAGTGAAATAATAACCAAAAAATTGAAATCCTCTCCGAGTTATTCTCTACGAACCTAGGAGTGAAATTTTTTCCCATAGCCAAGCTCAGTCAATTCTCGCAATACCAAAGAAGTTGGTCCACGAGGCAATGATTCAAGACTTTCCAATACATCAATCTTTCATTCTCAAAGAGATCAATTTCCATCGAAGAACCATCAAGCCCATAAGTGTTAGGGTATTGCTACATTTAGATAGGGTCACGTGTGATTAGGGAATCGCGTAGAGCGCAAACGCGTCTGTATTTAGTTACTCTCTAGCTTCAGGTGGACCACCTTTCCTTCTTGTAGACAATCTCATTCACCAGATTTGACCTCGTCAATCTTCCACGTACCCATACCTTGACATATTGTCTACCAACATTTTACAATTTACTGCCCTAGCGCGTAAATACTACACTTGAGCTTTTAGCAAAGTCTAGCTAATCAACTCAATCCTAAGACTGTATCACATAGTAACATTTTGAAGAAATATGGAAACCAACCCCTGGAATCTCGAAGGGGCTAATATTCCATACGCTCAGCCGACTAATTCTACTCTTCCCAACCAATTTAACGGTCGGGATGCTCTATTTGTTCAAAGATTCCCTCTCCTCTGTTCCGTACCGAACGCTGATCTCTTTGCCACTGCCATGCAGGGTTACAATGGGGCTGTCGACAACACACAGCTCGGCGAAGAGACCATGACCCTGGCAAACTCCTACATCCAGCTTGATGCTCAATTCAGCAAGCACAAGAATGAATACGACGTACTACTCGAAAAAAATCTTGAGCTTTCAGAGACAGTTGCTAAGCTTCAAAAGAAAAAGGTAGTGTCAACTACTGCTAGCTCACAACTACAGCAGCATAACTCTGTCCTTCAACAGCAAGTACAACATCTCGAACAGCAAATTGCCTCTAGTTCTCAACTCCAACAACAACATGCCCTACTTCAGCAAAAAAATCAGGAGCTGCAACAGCAAGCTCTTAACTTTGCCCAAGGCCCTACTCATAGTTCCCAAAGATCTGCTGAATACCCGGATCCCGAAGTCTTCTCTGCTGAAAGTTCTGAATCACGCAAAGAACTCCCACTATTCATCCGAAAGGTTAACATGAAATTTATCTCCAATGCTGATTGGTACCCATCTGAACAGAGCAAGATGTCATACATAGTGTCTCGACTCAAAGGCAAAGCATACTCCACCATAGCACACAGCATAAAGAGAGACGGCACAATCAACCTCTCTTCTTCCGACGCCATGCTGACACTACTGGAGCAAGCTTTCGCCGATGTAGATGAATGCAACACTGCTCGCCGCCAAATTTTAGTTACCAAGCAGGGCCAGAAAGAAACATCTAACCATATTTCTGATTGGCTTGAAATTGCACACAAAACTGACCTTTCTGATGATGCTTTGATAAACCATTTCTACGACTCACTTCACCCATTAATTGTAAGCCAAATTCAAAACAGGTTAATGATACGTCAGGAAATGCCCGCGGATCTCTGCTCTTACTTAGTTGAAGTCCGTCATATCGATGCTGTACTCCGTTCTTCTAACCCAAACTATACAAGGAATAAACCAAGTTTCACTAGCTCTTTTCAAGCTTTACGGCCCATGAATGCCCAATATCATGCCGCTGGGGGTGACCCTATGGACCTCAGTGCTTCAAAAGCCTCTACTCATACCACTTGGACCACAAGAGACGCTACAAACCATCGCATTCCACGAAACGAAGCAGAAAAGCTTGCAAAGCGCGACTACTGCTTTGAGAATAATTTATGTAGCTGGTGCTATGATCCTGGCCACCGAGCTCGGGTTTGCGCTGAAGCACGTTGGAATCAAGGTAAGAAGAGGTCTCGGGATAACAAGACAGTCATCGAGGAGGAAAAAGTCTAGTCTCTGATCAGCGTCGCGATCAGGGACCAATTAAGGGTCATTCGTACGAAAATTTGAAATTTTTTACAAGTTGGGAAAAAGATATCTCAGGCAAAACTAGTGTGAAAGATTTGATAATATCATCAATTTCAGCTCCTCACAAAGATCATCTTCTTCTCCCCTGTACTATAGTTTTAAACAAAAATAAATTCGCCTCACACGCATTTCTAGACTGTGGTGCAACCGACGATTTCTACGATCTTGACTCTGCGCAAAAAAGAAACCTCCCTCTCACTGTACTCTCTCTCCCTCGCCAACTCTACCTTGTTGATGGTTCATTAGCTGCGTGTATAACACACACTACAACAATAAAAATTGATATCATGGGCCACAAAGAATCAGTAACTTTTTTTCTAACAAATCTTGGCAAGTATGAACTCATCCTTGGTCGTAAGTGGCTCCGAAAACATAATCCCTTAGTCAATTGGGCACAGGATGTCGTCTCTTTCAATTCAGAATATTGTAAGACACATTGCTTTCAATCAAACACACGCCAGATAACCGTCCCTAGCTTTAAGAGCCATCTTTCAACTATAAACTGCGAATTAAATGGATATAGTAAAGGACGCCCGAGGAAAGTCGGAGCTGCCGCTTTCCAAACCCTCTCTAAACAACCCAATGTTAAAATATTTTCTCTATCCCTCTATGAAGTCGATAAGAGGTTACGGGACTTGGGTGTAAGGGTTGACTCCCAAACGCCGGATTTACCCTCAGTAAATCCTCCTACCAGCCCCACACCTATACAAAGGATGTTTCATGAGCTACAATCCTTTTACAATGAACTCCAAACTCAAACAGCTTCTCGTCATAGAGCTGCTGATATGTATATGGCCGGCTTTTCGCTTGAAGATATTCAAGTAGCTCTCCAGACTAAAGACCGACCGGACCCTAAAAAGAAACTACCATTACAGTACCACCAGCATCTGCCCGTATTTGACTACAATAGTGCTGATACACTTCCACCTCACAGAGATTGTGACCACAAAATCGAACTCCAACCCGGTACGACACCACCCCATGGCCCTCTTTATAATATGTCTGTCGATGAACTCCAAGTATTACGAAAATATCTAAATGAACAGCTCACGAAAGGTTTTATACGCGCCAGTAAATCTCCAGCAGCCGCACCAGTCCTATTTGCCAAAAAACCGGGAGGCGGCTTACGATTTTGTGTCGATTATCGAGGCTTAAATGCGATCACTATCAAAAATAGATATTCCCTTCCAC